GTTTGACTTTGTTAGAGGTAGAGAAGTCGTTAGATTGTCAATGGAGACATACTGTCCAAAAACCACGTCGGTGGTGTGAAGAGATTGCCCAGACGACTGTACATCTTCTTGCCATCATAGAAAGTCCTGTTGTGAATGTTTGAATAAAGATGTTTGGATCGAGAGGCATAAGAACAAGACGTACCTGACACCGTCCAACTTTTCTGACACCCACCATCCTGTTGGATCAGCGCCCTTCTCGATATCCCACTTGTTGGCTAACAAGAGCTCAGGTTTCTTGCCCGCGTCATCATCTTCGCCTTTAGCTCTTTTACTTGCCGGTTTACCGTCACCATCGTCGTCGTCGTCATCATCGGCTTTTTTGCGCTTGCCTTTGCCTTTGGACCCAGGTTTAGACTTGGTGGTAGGAACAGGCCCGTGAGGATTCTTGAATTTGAGACGAGCATCTTCGTATGCGTCGCCGAGGAGAGAGCGGAGGTGTTTGCAGGTACGAGCGTTTACAGGGTGGCCTCCCTGAGATTAAGAAAGTGAGCGCTAGAGCATAACACGTGCCAGCTTTGCGAGACTCACCTGGTTTCTCCAAGCCTGATATCGACAAACGTTAGAACGCATCAGGGCCAGAACAGAAGAGAGAGACGAATCTTACGGGACAGGTACTGATAAAACGACGTGTTAGCAAATATAATGCGCGATAATTATAAACACACACCAATAATAGTGATCCCAAGTACGTTTAACCTTGTAGGAGGAGTTGCTATTAAGATAAGGTCAACATGACAAACACGAGGTATGAAACATAAACGAAACATACCTGGTTTGAGACTTGACCTCTGTCTCATCTCCATCCTTCATAACGACCTTTGGCTTGATACCATTGATCTCGGCAAGCTCATCACCACTCGAAGACGAAGAGGCAGCAGCTTGGGGCTTGGCCTCCTCAGCATCAGCGTCAGCCTCTTCCCGTTTCTCCTGTTCTTCTTCTTCGTCCTTCTCCTCAATGTCCTCCTCCAACTTCAACTTCCTGGCCGGTGCCTTGCCCTTGGCTTTAGACGAGGGTTTGGTCGAAGCTTTGGAAACGGGTTTCTTGGTTTCTTCCTCTTCGTCGTCTTCGTCGGCCTTCTTTCGCTTACTGGGCGGTTTCCTGGTTGAAGCTCTGGAAGCAGGCTTCTTCGTCTCCTCCTCTTCTTCGTCGTCCTTCTTTCGTTTGCTAGACGGTTTCCTCGCCGAAGTTCTAGAAGCAGGCTTCTTCGTCGACGTCGCCTTTTCCTCTTCTTCCTCTTCCTCTTCCTCTTCCTCATCCTCATCCTCGTCAACCTTCTTGCGTTTACTCGAAGGCTTGGCTTTGGAAGTCGAAGCAGGCTTTTTCGCGGTCGATGTCTTTTTTGAAGATCCCTTGGCCGCCTTTGGAGGCGGGCCATCTGGGTTCTTCAATTCTAGCCGGGCGGTCTCATATTCGAGCCCGAGCATTTCTAGAAGGTGCTTGCATGTACGGGCGTTTACCGGTACACCCGCCTGTGTGTCCAAAGACAGATAAGAGTTCGCAATAAGGTCGACGACGGAGAGTGGTCCTTACCTGATTTCTCCATGCCTAGGAACATGAAATACTTAGAATGGATGGGACAAGGATATAAACGTGATAACCGTACCGGACAGGAGCTAGTATGCGAAAATGAGTAAAAATTTGTGGACAACGCTACAAAAACTCACCAGTAATAATGGTCAAATGTTCTTTTTATTTTATAGACAGATTTACTGTTGAAAGAAGGTCAAAGCATTAGTAAACGATACGTAGGAGATTTCGTAGTCAAACACGCGCCTACTCGTTGACCTAAACTCCTTTTCTTCATTGTCGGCAAGCAGAACCTTGGGCTTGATACCGTTAATTTCTGCGAGTTCGTCGTCGGCCATGATGGTAAGGAAGGGAGAAAGGAGGAGTACTGCTGACCTTTATATTCGGCGCTGTTATGGGCGGCGGGTTTCTGGGGGTCACAGCGACGTCAACTTCTCGTGATCGTTACTGTCACGTCGAGTCAGTGCGAAGCGCCTACGCGAGTCAGCCGCTTAGACCGACTCTCATTTGACTCGGACTCCGCCTTCAACGTGGATCAACGCATCTTTGATTATCTGCAATCTATGACTAGATACGGCCAAGTATTGCATATCTATGGCGCTTAATACCCGTCACGCAAACTTCTTAACTCATAAACAGTGATTCATCATTCGTCTTTAGCCTACTTATCGCCAGCGCTACCTTGAAGGGAAAATTCCAACATGAACGTCTCTGCGAAATCCCATACTTTGACAAGCTCCAGTCCACTTTCCGCCCTGAATATACATCAACAATCTACCCAGCTGGAAAATTGATAGGTATTACTCACCCAAGTTGGATAAATTCTTCGCAAGTCCGTTCTTGTGCATTGAACATTGCCAGCATATTCTGAAGTATATTACGTGAATATTCGAGGGTGAGACCTTCTGAAATGCACACTGACTATATCTTGATGATAATTTCTTATGCTGCCAGTTCCATAATTTGGTAATAGTGGCGCCGGGGCCTGAGATTAGGATATAATTTGGGAACAAGGTCTCAGAAAGAGATTTCTACTTACCCTCTCCATTGCTACGTTTGCAGAGGTACCTTCTTCCTCTTTGGTGTATACATGCTTCATAACGATATCGTCTACTCCTCACCTCAGCGCGGAATTTCGATTGCTTGCAGGAACAACGCTTACGAACGAATACACGACTTGAAGGTTTCATAACCTTGGCTATATTCTTCAAGATCATCATTGCCTCTGCGTCAGGCCAATCGTGCATTATATGCTTCATCTGCGATTCCATAGATTAGTAGTATTTCTTCCATCTGGCGTTTTCAAAAGCGCTCACATAATAGATATCTTGCTCTGGGACTGGACTCTCCACTAGAAAATTCATCGTCACAAAACTGATCCGACTTTCCTCAATTGCTTGAGGGTAATTGGAACTCCAGACCTGTCGCGTGGGTGAGTATTATCTGTCTCTTTCTGCTTAACGGCGTACGTACCTGTCTGGCTTGTTCAAGAGGATCCGGCAAGTCTTGGAGGGTAATTCTCAAATGAGGATGTCCCTGCGCAAGAGCGAGTGTAATCGCTCCAACTCCCGATCCAATGTCACAGACTGTTGTCCCTGTCGGCAGTTTATCCCAGGGATAGCCTAAAAGTCATGACGAAAACTGGAAGCTATATATGATCAAACAATTACTTACCCTTCACCATCGAAATAGCTGCTGTGGTCCTTGTCCAACCTACCATCGCCTGGTCGAACCGCTAAAAGAAAGCTGGTAAGTACTTAATTCAAAACTAGGAACTTGGAGCTCTTACTGCTCCTATTTCAGGCTATTCAACACGTATATGAGTAATAACTCTTACCAAAACAACACAATTAGGAAAACTTACATGTCTTTTGTACCATTCAAATAGGCCCCCGTTAATGTTCTCGTCTCTTACAGCGTAAGTGAATGCGCTCTTGTTCGGCGTCTCGCTTTCTGCGTATTCCGGAATAGCCATCGATTCTGGAAGAGCGTTGGCTCCCTTCAAGCATTCGTAGGTGTCCAGCAAGATGGTTGATGAGACAGGATTAGACGAGAGAAGTGTAAGTGAGAGCCGATTATTAGCAAAGGCGCTGTCGGAGACTGGAGTCATATATAGCGATTTCAATAAACAAGCAAACAGGACGGTTAGCGCCGTCATCAATATCCGAATATCCCGGGATAGTTTCAGAGATGTAAGTGAAGATTGATACAAAAATTGTTGATCCAAGGGCCGATTTTTGTGGATCGCCGATAGTAAAAGTCAATCAATGAATAAACAGTGCTCTTTCGTCAGTCTCATTCTTCGAAAGTTTGAATCATCGGTGTAAGAGATCACTCACCCTCTCTAAAACAACCCCTTGTCGCAAGAAGACGCATAATTCGTCCGAGCTTCCGTGGGTTTATCTTGTTTTCAGTCTTGGACACGATTTCATCGACGTGAAGTCCATTTGGAAAGCTTTCCAGAATATCTGCGATGCGATTTTCAATTGCAAAACGCATGCAGGGTGCCTCTTGAGGCATACTACGCTGTAGAATCGAAGGGGTAAGATTAAAATTTGCAAAGAAGCTAAATGAAGCAAATACTTGCATTAACCATCGTGTGCATTGGTTGTGCCAACGTAGTACACAACCGTTCACAGGCCCCCTCCAAAGTTCGGATGGCCCGCTTTAATGCTAGACCATCAAGCGCCTCGTCCAATGGATGAGCATTGACTGCGTTTACAGAGGGAACGCCTGCTCCTGATTTGACATATTCTGCTACGGCTTCTCGAGTTGAAGTGCTGATCAAGTCGAGAAGGGCGTCGATTTCATGGTTAATGCTGGTAGAGTAAGATTTGGGCTGTCCCATGTTGGATGTAGGGCGTTCAATAGAAGAAAGCGAGAATACGAGGGTTCCGACAAGAGATACCTATTAAGCTGGTCATAAAGCGAGCTTTTTAAGAGCCAGATAGCTCCTACGGACCGGTGTCGTGGGTGTTGAGATTCCAAAAGTGAAACCGGAATATGGAATCTAGCAGTGAGTTAACTCCTGCAGCCACAGACCTACACTAGTGGACACTACGCCAAGAGGGAATACGCGATGGAGACACTACTTACCGCATTGAAAGTAGTTTCCGAGACCATCCCCTTCTCCATAATTGTGTGCATATTGGAGACGTAGCACTAATTTTTATTAAATAAAATTCCGTTTTGAAAGGAGACGAAAGCCATTATGACGTGTAAGAATTGGAAAGGTGAGGTTGCCTCTTATCCGTGAGAGTTGCTAGTCGTTCCGTCGACGAATCCTAGACTTCAAGGTGGCCTGGTAGAATACTAACGTCATTCTGTTTGAAGGGATGGTCAAAGAGATCCCGATACTGTAGCAGTGATAAGTGCACCATTAAAAAAAAGTTGTGAAAGAAAGAGGCAAAATACGTACAGGAGATCGGAATGCTCCCTGCAAGGCTCGAACTTGCGACCTCGAGATGACATCCACCACGTGGAATCATATTTCAAATATGAGACTCGCGCTCTACCGACTGAGCTAAGGAAGCGTACATTCATGGGCATTCCTGCTATCCTAGATGCCTGCGCCTGAGAACCATTTTCAAGCTCCGGTCGGGATTATGACAGTCACTATCAAGTACTTCTTTTTCCATCTACAGAACGTTGGATGGATCACCTCATTCTCCTGTACGCAAAACCTTGGAGGATATTAACAGCAACCACTGGATAGCCTCTGCTGCGACTGCAACTTTGGAGAGACCCACCGCTATGGAGCAATGTGCCCTTACAAGCTTTCAACAACTCAAGCATCACTGCCACCTCCGCAGTGTCCAACAGTCCTTAAGTCCGGCAATCAATAGTTTCCAGTCAATCATACACGTTACACAAAGCAAGGTTCAAGTATTGATGCTGCGGCGCCTCCACATGTTTTGAGATACGTCGCGATGTCGTCTTCACTTCACCTGTGTTCAAACACGCAGTATACATATTCCTTCCACCTGAAACTCTCTGGAGTTTTGAATATATCTCAAAAGATACCAAGACGCTATTGGATAATATGATGTGCGCTTATTTGGGATTCAATGAGTCTCCAGCGCTGATCTATCCATTCTTAAAAAGGATCTATCTATGCCAAATTAAATAGAATACTACTTTCAATGGCCAAGTTGCCGCTGATTTATTGGTATACAAGATATCCTTTCAAGCCTTCCGGTCTACGGATAGACCCTAAACCTCCATGTGCGTTTCCACCATCCACCACGTATCTTAGACCACCTGCTCCTTGTTTTCAATATGTCCCACACCTATTGTATGGAGTACGTGCTCAAATTCTTTATAAAAGTAGCGGCAAGAAGACAATAAAACCTGATGGCGGGAGATTCGGGAACAATATATTTGCCTAATTTCACGGACAAAATTCTGCATGGAGAAATACTACCACACGACGCCCCAATTCCAGTTGCATCTTGCAATAAAAGGCATCCAGGATTAAGCCTCGAGGCCACTGGAACTTGAACTTTGACCTCGCAATTTGTCTCGGGCCGAAACTGCGCTGTCACGCCGGCGCCACTATTTTTTCTCCGTTTGCTAGTCCTTCAGACTATCTTTGACCGTACTCGTCAAATAGGATGCTAAAACGTTCAACCGACTACAAGAACTCAGACTGTCTGATCAAAAGCCGTCTTCAAACAAAGAATTGTTGCAATGCGACGAGTTATCAAAGTGCGGGGTTTCGCCATTTTGAGGAAACCGCCTTGTCCCGAGGACTATCTTATTGTCTTTTGTCTTTTTTTTCCCGCTGGGTGTAATATATGTCTCAAGCGTTTCATGGCAGCCGTCCCAAGATATTAAAAGCGAGGTGTGTCTAGAATTTGGCATCGATAACCACCATGGAGCTCTCCCCTGCCACTTCCTTTGCGATTCCAGATCTCCCTTCATACTTCAAATATTCTTTACGGCGCAATGAGCACGAAAAGACTGCTCTTAGGATCACGAAGAATTGGTTCTTCCAGGGTTGTCAGGACAAGAAATTCGAGAGGGCCAAGGCTCAGTACGACATAGACAACTTTGCATTTCTCGCGTCTACTTGCTATCCAGAGGCCGACAAGGAGCATATGCAGACCTGTTCCGACTTTCTCATCCTTCTCTTTCACCTCGACGACATCACCGACGAAATGACTCCGATCCAATCAGATAGCACTGCGGATATTGTGATGAAGACTCTTCGCAATCCTCACGGATATTCTTCGCCAACCAGAGTCGGATTTTTGATTAAAGAGTGCGTCTTGATCCACTCTCGTGTGAACGATATCTCATTAGAATTCCCATCACATTTCCAGCTTTTGGACACGATTCATTAGGACAGGCTCGCCTGGGGCTCAGAGAAGATTCATCGAGGCTTTCGACTTGTACTTTAAGAGTATCCACAATCAGTCCTACTATCGTCAGACGAGATACATCCCTCCCCCCGACGATTATGCCGACCTCCGCCGCGATACATCTGGTTGCATGATGTGCTATGCTTTGACAGAGTGTCGGTATTTTTTGCACTTGTATATCTTCCGTTTATTTAACATTTCCATTTATAGACGCAAATAATCTCAACATTCCCGATGTCGTGATGGAGGACAGTGCTATTCGTGGGATGCAAGACGCGTCCAATGATCTGGTCTCTTTCGCAAATGTAAGCGTTCGGCGTTCACTGTCGAATATCTAGACTCAATATATGGGACCTTTAGGACATATACTCTTACAACCTCGAACAATCGAAGAGTGATACGCACAATATGATCGCAGTCTTGATGCACAGCGAGGGCTTGGATCTGCAGACAGCCGTAGATCGCGTTGCAGATCGCTGCAGAGATGCCATGGACCGCTACTACGAATCTCGAGACCAACTTCCGTCTTGGGGAGACGAAATCGACCAACAAGTCAAAATCTACGCCGATGGTCTGGCTGATTGGATGATAGGGGTCATGCGTTGGTCCTTTGTGACTTTTAGATATTTCCGCAACGATTTGGAGGCGGTGAATGCATCTCAAGTTGTTAAGCTCTGGGGACGGGAAAAGTATTGAAATTTTTCGAGTTTGTTTTTGCTTTTTTTTTTTTTTTTTTGATTTCGAGCTTCTCGTGTACATGTTCATGATCTGACGACTTAGAGCCCTGTATCCATTGTACGACTCTCTTCGACCCTTCTCATCCAGCATACCTTTTTTTCGTTTATCGAATTACCTTACAAGACTTCGATCTTCTTGCATAGTTTCCCACTTTATTCCCTTGCATTACGCTGCACTAACCAGCATCCTTTTGTAATATTGATGTAGTAACAAAGCTGCTTATTCAACTTTTAGTTAAATATCATGCGTATTACATGATGTCATCCCGCTCCTTTGAAACACGTACGATTCACGGCCCATCGACAGCTTGACAGGGTTCACTAGTGGTGGCTCAAGCACTCAAGCGCGGATCCTGACACTCGTTGTGGGGCGGCGAACTCACAACAACAACATCAGCGCCAAGCCAAACTCCGACCCAAGCCTTCCTATTTAGGCCTGTTCCGCCCCGACCCGGAGAACCTCCGATGTCCCTGATTGACTTTGTAATCGGGGGTGATCCGACAACAAAATTGTGGCTCAAGCTCAGGGTCTATTTAGCCCGTTTTTCCAGATGCCGTTCCTGATCTTCTGTAAGAAATGTCCGTTTTACCGAAATACAAAAAAGCCGTGAATTTGTAAAGTTCTCTTTCTGTACGCGGTCCATCATGCCCGCCCAACGAAACAAGATCGATAGTGGGACACGGTTCTGATTCTACGCTCTCGACTTGCAGCGCATTGCGCAGTGATGTTGGACAGACGAAACTCGAGGCAACCATGAACATGGCGTTGGGGAATAAAATTGAAGCGAAATGATGGAGGCGGGTATATTTCCGTATCGGACTTGGAGAATGAATTTACACATATGGACAAACTCGGCAACCACGATATTTGCTTCGCTCGGCTCTCTTTTGTTACGATTTTGCGCTTAAAGCGTCGTCCCATGATTCGCTAGTACGGCGTTAGCATCTCACTTTGCAGGACACTAAGTAGAAACAGGCAGGCAAATGAGAACGACGTTGTCCGTAATGAGTCTACTCATTTACGAACGAAAAAAGGGTTGGATGAACCTGAAATCAAAGGTCCTTTGAGAATCAGCAGAAATCAGTTTAATCACTGCACCCGTTACCTCCCCTACCAGTGCAGACATCAACTTACCGTGTAAGTACTGCGGGCATCGGACGACGAAATCAACAAGTCACTAGAAGCTCCGTCGGCATTCTTACAAGGCTGAGAACTTGGAAGGCTCAATTCTATGTCCCGAATGATTCCACTAACTCGGCTTGAAGGGCGAATGTTTATTCTATACATGTTGGGAAGTATGAGTCGGAAACCGGGACCGCTCGAATTCGTTCTCTATCCAAGTCATATCTTCGCAAGTATGTACATGCTGCGTCCGAGAGGCACTGAGTCAATGCGAAAATCAGGACTACTGATGGATCGCGTGCTATCTGGGCTGCGCATACGTATGCTTCTTCGACGAAATAACCTTCTTCGACCTCGATATCTCCGAAATGGCAGAAGATGGCTGAAGTAGTTTTGTGATAAGGCGCAGATCACACTGTAGTCGGGCAGTAAAAGAGAAATGCTTAAATCTCATTGCCTACGATCGTAGATAAAAATCAATAGGTAGATAGGTACTTATACGCCTGTTTATCTTAAACTAAATATTACATGGGGGTATATATATCATATATACAGGTTGTTTTAACTGCACACTGCATTGAAGAATACAAGATGATTAATAAATAAGTATATGTGGTGGTAAATGGAGTCGTGAGCTTGAAGGATTGAACAGTGAAATCGTGCATGAAAAGTATAAGAGAAAAAAGCAGGGAACTTTTCGTCATGACACGGGGACCGCCTTGGCGTGTTTCGTACGAGGCTTAATCTTGTTCCGCTTCAAAGACAGTGGTCTGTCTTTTCCACGTAACCTCGAATAAACACCGCATGCGTTGCAAAGCTGCTCCCCAGTTTTGCTTCGTCGCCATACAGAAGTGTTGTGAGTGTGGCAGTGGCTGCATTCAGGTCCTCCGCTACGGTCCGAGCTATCAGAATCATCATCCAGATCAGCGTCGATCAACTCCTGAGGACGAAGTTTGTTCCTTTGTTGAAGGTAAAGACCACATGCATTGCAAAGGGGCTTCAAGGTTGTTGGTTCTCGTCTCCATAGGGGAGTCGACGTAGCACGGCAGTGCGAGCACATCTTTACGCCCGGAGTGGCGTCTGCACTGTGTCGACGCGAAGATCTTATAGATGGAGCAGGGACGGTTGATTGTGGCGGCGATGGGGAAGGGGATGGGGAAGAGATGGTGGACAAAGGAGAACACGAATTACTGATGACGGGTTTCACTTCATAGTCTGGATTGGGGAGGAGAGTTTCACCCCAAGATGGACTGTTATCATAGGAATTTGGGAGATTGGAAGAAGTCCAGTGAGGACTGTAAGATGTTTCT